CAGTCTCAGTATTTACTGTGAATTTAATAATTCAATCATTCAAAAAGCTTTGAAATGTAGAAAAAAAAGGACTATCCAACACACAAATATGATGATTCTTATGATGATTCTCCCCTCATAACACTCGCTCTTTGTAAGGGCTGTGTAGAAAATGTATTGCTAAACAACTGAAATTTATACATACCCCAATATTTAATACAAGCTAAAATACAGTAGAAATAGAAAGACATCTACAATCAATCAAAACATAAAATCCTTATTTTCTTTTCATTTTTATTCTCCTCATCAGAGTATTGATCATGAAAAAAAAAGCAAATGAGCAGGTGAATTAATGTGATGTTTTCAAGCTATACTTAATGTGCATTTCCTTCAACATTCTCCACTCCTACATAAGAACACAAACTACGAATGTTCAGGTTTATCTATGCAGAGCTCCTCAATTCCCCACATGCCATGTCATTAAGCTAAATGTTCAGGGTTATCAAGCCACCAATCTCTTCTACCCTTAACTAAACAACATAAAGCAAAATAACTACAGCAACCTCTGGTAAAAGGCCAAAATGTCCAACACTTGACTAATACTCATTTTAAAACAGTACATAAAATATCAGAAAAAATATCTACTAATATTTAAGTAATATAATCTGAAATTGGCAACAGAATATACATAACCTAAAGCTGTATGAATCCATTGATTAGGTAAATTTAAGATTTTCCAAAACACTTAATTTTCATATAATAGTATGTGGGTTACTTTTTTTAAAATTAAATTTTCAAATAAAATAATTCAGCTACTATAACTAGGAAGCATTCCAATAGAAAATGAAATTGTAACACATAGGCACAGTCTAAAAAGCATATAGGAAGAATTTCTCAAGGTCGCCATAGCTACCAATACTGACAATTATCAGAGATGATAATTTAAATACCAGCTATGTCTGTTAATTAAAATTTTTAATTTGGCAGAACTATAACATGTGTTGCCAAGTTTCCTTAGTGCTTATCTAAAGTACTGGCCCACTTGTTATGGGAGTCTCAGAGAGAAGACAGAAGAGACTGAAATCCAAATTATTCAAAGATGAGGAATTCTCTATTCAAGTCTTATGAAAGTCCTTAAAATAGCTATCTCTGACAAATGCAATGTGACTCACTTTTCTTCCTCCTGTTAAGCTACACACCCTGGACAGACAGGAAAAAGGGTGGGAGTACACACCCCCATTGTAATCTGTAGTATTCACAGCATCCATTATTTCCTTCTGTTACAGTGTATTCACACACCTCTCCACCTATCCTGGTAATTTAGACCATATCACATAAAATAACAAAATTCTCTACCATAGTTAATGTTGATTTTTTTTAAAAAAAGTTTGTTTTAAGATTTTACAAACATTTGGGCTGAGGTTGTGTCTCTGTGGTAGAGCACTTACCTAGCATGTGCGAGGCCCTGGGTTTGCTCCTCAGCACCACATATAAATAAATGAGTAAAATAAAGGTATTGTGTCCAACTAAAACTAAAAAATAAATATTTTTTTAAATATTTTACAAATATTTCATTTATAAATTATTCTTCTTCCGGTTAGATTAAAATCTTGGCAAAAGCATATCCAACACTGGCCTAAAATGAAGGGTACATTCCTCAATTGAAAATTCAAAGCTTAATATTCTGAAATCAAAGGTGCAGGGTGGATCTCCTAAAGATCAAGGGAGATCAGTAGAGAAAAGGAAACAAGGGGTGGAAGGTATGGAAGAAGCGGAGAAATACTGAAAAGTGATACTGGCCAAATTATATTGTTATATTGTATCCTGTATGAATATGTAACAACAAATCCTGCCATTATGTACAACTCTAATGCACCAATGAAAAATGCAGAAAAAAATATTCTGAAATCAGGTAAAAATGCTTGAGATTTCATGGTACAAATAGGTATGAATTTTGCTTCCTTTTTTTGTATTGTCCACATTTTCCATGATAAATATTTTTTATAAATGCATATACATATTAATCCTTCTTCTCAGTAAATTTAATCTAGTCTTTTCAGTATATATTATTATATTTCTAAATGTTTTGCTTCACTTAGGATACCACAGAGATTCAAGCACCACTCTATTATTATACCTATCATTATAAATAACAAAAAAGAAAAATTTCTACTTCATTAGTGAATAGTTTGTTAATGTCCATGAATATTTAGAAGACCTATAAGTTAGGTACCTTAATATAAAAAATATGGAGTACCGTATTTTATTGAAAATATGTAAAAATATATTGACGTTCAAAAATTTAACAAATAAATGGTACACTATAACTCTCAGAATGTGAGTGTATACACACACACATACACACACAAACATCCACTGTTTAACAACTCATTTTTCTACTACTTCATCCTACTTGTACTGAACATATTACAGCCTCCCTTGACATTCACAAATTTAATCACATGTACTATTCCTAAGAGATTATTAGGCAGACCAGGCATAGTGGCATACACCTGTAATCCCAACTACTCAGGAGGCTGAAACAGGAGGATTACAAATTTGAGTCCAGCCTCAGCAACTTAGTAAGACCCTGTTCTCAAAATAAAAAATAAAAATAGCTGGGGATGTAGCTCAGTGGTTAAGCCCTTCTGGGTTCAACCCCTGGTAATCCAGTCTCCCAAAGAAAAGAGATTATTAGGAAGAACAAGCTTGGTACCCGTTTGAAAAATGCCTATATCCCCAGCAAGAAATGAATTACAGAAAGGCCAATGATTAAGTCTATGATTTTCTGAATTCTTACTGCATCAGGACTTTAGGGTATATTTAAATATTTTGTTGTTGAAAATATACCTCTAGAATATCTAGCATATCCAGAATATATATGCACAAACGTGACAAATATAAAGCAGACATACAGTAAAGAAAGAGGGTATAAGAATGTTGAGCATGAACCCATGGTCTTATTTTATGTAACATGGTCAAGGAAAGCCTCCATAAGAAGGTAGCATTTGAATAGGTAAATAAGGAATATAGGGTTCAGTGAGAGCTATTAAAAGTATTTTTAAATTAATATGGGATTCATAAATATAAATTAAACATATAACTAAGATTTATTCTACTTATTTGTGAATAAATAAATCTTTACATTAAGACTTATTCAAAATGCATTTGAAGAGCTGATATCCCCAAAGGAAACTTAACCATGGAGAACTAACAGTACAAGAATAGAGATAAAACTGGTTAATATCCTACAGAGCAATAAACTATATTCTTTGAAATTATCATTTCTAAAGTACAGAAATTATTTTTCTTTTGGGAAAAAAATATACAAATTAATATGTGATGTCACCTTCAATCAATAATAAACAGTTAAATAAAGAACATTATTCTATGTGGTCCTGGAGTAGGCTTATTAAACAATGTTCTATTGGTCATTAAAACATATACACTGCTCATCCTTATTTCCAATTTTTGCATTTTTAAGAAAGCTATGAATATATATGAAAGAAGAACATTCCAGACAGAGAAAATATGAGTGAATCATGAACCATACCTTTACTACAAAGAAGAAATGCCCTTCCCACTCATGTATTCATTCAGCTGAACTTTATTTTGAAGTTTGGCATAATAAGTGGCTGGGGAGATAAACTAAAGTAGCCAGAGAAGCTGAAAGATTTACATTGGAAAGCAAATAGGAATAAAGGTTGAGATCTGGTCTGATTTACATTTAAAACCCTATCTGCTGAAATAAACACTCTTCTCAGGAGAAGACCCAGAACTGGAAATCTGAAGGCCATGCACGTATTAAAATTATTCAGGAAAATAAATAACTAAATGCATAGTTTGTCACATGTAAAAACTGATATGGAGTAAAATAAAACAGAATATGGTAAGGTTGGTGGAGGGGTTGCTAGCATTATTTGGAAAGGCCTTCTGATAAGATAATATTTGAAGGGAAGAATGTTAAAAACAACAACAACAAAAACTATGCATGGATCTGAAGGAAAGACACTCCAAACACTGGGATAAAACAAAATGACTGAGAACAGGATAGGAAAAAGATAGGAAAAAGGGATCAAAGAATGTAAGGGCTTTTAATATAGTTAAAAAGAACTTGGCTTTTAATGTAGTTGAGGATGAGTAGCCACTGAAGTAAAACAACATGATCTAAGTGTTCAACCAATCACAGGGGCTATAATTTGGGAAACGGAAGGCAAAACAAAAAGATTTGTTATATGATACTTTAGTATTCCAAGGAAGAAATAATGGTAGCACAGAATAGGAGCAGTGAACCCGAGAATAAAGAAATCAGAATATTTTGAAGGTAGGATCAACACATTTTGCTAACAGGCTGACAGAGAATAAATTATATATATGTATATATGTATATATATGTACATATATACACACTCTCCTATATGTGTTAATGTATGTATGTATGTATGTGTGTGTATATATATATATATATATATATATATATATATATATACACACACACACATATATTTTATATATTATAAATGTGGGTTTTAGCCTTATCAATTAGAAAGATGAAGTTGCCATTTACTAGAATGGGAAAAACTACAGAAGAAACAAATTTATTAATAAAAAATTTGAGAAAGAAGAGACAATTACTACAATTTATAAAAATGTTAAATATCCTTTTTAGATTTATAGGATTCTAAACTCTTCATGTAATTAGAATACTCAGTTGCCAAAGTGTTACCTACTAGAAACAGAATACTTTTCACCAAATTGTCTGACCTCAAACTACTAATCCTTAATGTTTCTCACAGATTACACTTTCTAAAATGGCCATCTTCACTGATTTCATCCATACTGATTAATGTTTTATCATTTATTCAAGCCAAGTATAAGATTACTCATTCATAAGACATTTACCAAGCAATTTTTGAAATTACATGCATACTTCATCAAAAGGGCTACATTTTAAACTTTAAGTCCACTAGCATACTTCATCAAAAGGGCTACATTTTAAACTTTAAGTCCACTAGGCTTACCTGAAGTTCTTTGTATCTATCTTGAAAAGAAATGGCCTCTTGCTCTTTTTCTTTTAGGAAACCTTTTTCTAACACACTATGCTTTTCCATTAATGATTCAACATCCTAAGAGAGAAAAAAAAATAACAAACTTTGTAATGTTAATGAACACAGAAAATAGCTGTCAAGGAAAGAATCCATAGGAAGTACGGTTTAAAATCTAATAATATTATAAATTATATCTTTCATTCTAATTTCTACCAAACACTAGAATTACTCTAAAAAATGAAGAGAACATCTCAAGTAATTCCAATTGACAAAACCAATCTCTTATACAAACTTTCTACAAATTTGTCAAGATATTTATATTGTAGGAAAAAGAGATACGAACATAAATAATTTATGAAAATTATTATACATCTAAATATTCTTGTCAAATATCCCAATGATGCCTGAACTCTCATAAGGAGAAGTTAATGTTATAAAACTTGAAATCTGCATAAGATATATAATACTGCCTGCTTCCAAAGTAAATTAAACTAAATCAGAAAGAAAGTATTAGCTGGGTGGGGAACCCTAGTCAAATTGTTCGTATCTTTAAAAATTCATATATAGTCAATTTGAATGATTATATATGAATATATGAAAACAAAACATTGTTTTCAGGAACCCCTGCTCACATCAAAATCTGAGGATACTCAAGTCTTTTATATGAACTAACATAGTATTTGCATATAACACTATGCACATCCTCCCATGTATTTTAAATCATCTGTAGATTATGTAATATAATGTAAATACACTGTAAATAGATATATTGTATTGTGTATGAAAAGCTAACAAAACAAAAATGATCTGTATGTGTTTGGTACATGGATTTTTTTTCCCTAATAGTTTTGATGTGTGGTTGAATCTAGATATGGAACCCATGGATATGACAAGCTAACCACTTTTAAGATTCCTTATCAAAGGTTTTTCCAATTGATAGGCTGATATGACTGATTTAAACCACAATTCAAGAGAAGACAATATCCTCTTCCTCTGGTGAGTTTTTAATTATAATTTTGGATTACATCGAATTTTCTTTAAGTTCACACAATCCAACTTTTACTTTTTAAGCAAGTATTACCTTTTTAATTCTTAGTTTTTCTTCTTCAGAGGCTTTGAGTTTAATCTCCAGGCTTGAAATTTTTTGCTGAAGCTGTATGTTTGATACATGGGTTCCAGAATCCTCAGACTCATCCACAGTAGCAATTGTTCCATTACTTGCCTCATCAGTTAAGCCCAATGGAAAAAGTGGGATATCCAGATGAGTGTGCGTTGTTTGCTGAATCTAAACCATATTAGACACAGACACAGACACATATACACAGAAGAAAGAAAGAAGAAAAGAAAGTTCACACTATTTCAATAATTAAAATATCCAAAGAGCATCAGAAACCCCATATGGAAAGTAAATTGAAGCAAAGGTTCCAAAATGATTTCCCACCTGAAATAAATCTACAGAAGACCTCAAACTGTTCCAACAACATAACCCTGGCACTAAGAATCAAAATTTCCTGTTAACTTCAAAGCCTAAAGTACTTCTTATTTTGATAATAATGCATTAAAAAATTCTTAATGCTTTTTCTTATGTTTGAAAATGTACAATTAAGTGTAGATACATCTGATACTTACCAGTTCTTAATTCTATGCATGTAGAATTTGTTTTCATTTTAAATTGTAAATTAGAATTTGAAATTCATCAGTCATCTCTATTTGATCAGCACTTTTTAGTAAAGTTAATAGGTTACTTAAAATTGTGAATTATACTTCAGAAATCTAATTTCAGTATACAGCACAATATTTGGTTCAACAAATATCTGAATACATGGACTATGACGGCTACCTCTTTAGTTTATATCCTAAAATTAACATAGATGCTCTAATGCACGAAAACATGTTAAAATTCCCTTAAAATAGAAATAACTATATTTTTGTAATTATTTTCCATTGTAAAGTTCAAGATTTGAAATACAAAGCTAATTCCACTTGAATAAATAACTAAGGCTACCCAAATGTTTTTTAATTGTGCCAAAAATATCATAATTACCTTGTTTTTAAACTCTAAGTATTGCAGAAATATTTCTGTTAGAAAAACTAAATTGAAACAGAAATCATAAAAGAATCAAGTAAACCAGTATGTACTTTTTAGGTATACAAATCTTCTGTTAAAATATACTTGTCTTTACCTGTGCTTTAGGAATTGTTTGATTCATAATAGTATTGTCTGCATGTACATTCTCTGGTGATGAAATGATGGCATCAGAAGAGAGGCATCCAAGTGAAGGAGGCGAGTGGTCATGGTCCAAAACAATCTCAGGAGAAGCTGGTGAAAGATGGACTCCAGATACTAAAGAACAACAACAACAAAGAATAAGACATTAAAGAAAAAACAGAGAGAGGACAGGTTGAAAGGAAGAAAGACAGAACACAGAAAAGGAAAAGGGTAAGGGAAGTAAAAGCAATGAGATTAAAAATGAGGATTTTATGACGATTATTCATGGATCAATACTGAAATCTAAAACTAGTGTTTCTAAACTTAACATAATATTTCCATATAAGACTCAAATGTGTAAGGTCTTAGTGCTTATATACTAACTTCCATAACACATGCATTTGCAACTCAAAGGGGATGGACGAACACACACACACACACACACACACAATTCTTTTAGTTCAGAAAAGTCCATTTATTTGGGTAGGAAAAAAGCACTGGAGGGCCTACAAGTGCTACATACAGGAACTGGGCACGGTGGAGACATCAGTGAGAAAGACAGATGCACTTATATACTCAATGATCTTATGAACAGTAGGAGGTCAATCAACTAAGTAAACATTAATTAGTATACAATGTATAAAGAAGAAGAACAATTACTGTGAATTAAGGAGTCCAACTGTCTCCATATTAAGTTCTTCTTTTGTAACAAACAAAACTTTTTTTCCTGTTAAAGTCAATTATAGATTATTGGATTATTTCTACAGAAATATAATGTTGAAATACAGTTTTACAATTAGTTTCACAACAAACCATCACTACATTGTGACTAGGATCCTAATAAAAAAGTCATAAAAGAGGGAGTACTTCCAAATTCATTCTATGAGGCCAATATCAGCCTGATTCCCAAACCAGATAAAGACACCTCAAAGAAAGAAAACTACAGACCAATATCCCTAATGAATTTAGATGTAAAAATCCTCAATAAAATTCTGGCAAATCGGACACCAAAACATATCAAAAAGATCATGCACCATCATCAAGTGGGATTCATCCCTGGGATGCAAGGCTGGTTCAATATAGGGAAATCAATAAATGTAATTCACCACATCGATAGACTTAAAGATAAGAACCATATGATCATCTCAATAGATGCTGAAAAAGCATTCGACAAAATACAGCATCCCTTTATGTTCAAAACTCTAGAAAAATTAGGAATAACAGGAAATTACCTCAAAATGGTAAAAGCTATATACTCTAAGCCTCAGGCCAGCATCATTCTAAATGGAGAAAAACTGAAGGCATTCCCTTTAAAATCTGGAACAAGACAGGGATGCCCTCTCTCACCACTTCTATTCAACATAGTTCTTAAAACACTAGCCAGAGCAATAAGACAGAAGAAAGAAATTACAGGCATAAATATAGGAAAAGAAGAACTTAAATTAGCACTATTTGCCGATGACATGCTGCTAGCAGACCCAAAAAATTCAACCAAGAAACTTCTAGAACTAGTAAATTAATTCAGAAAAGTGGCAGGATATAAAATCAATACCAATAAATCAAAGACATTCCTGTATATCAGTGACAAATTCTCTGAAATGGAAATGAGGACAACTACTCCATTCACAATATCCTCAAAAAAATAAAATAAAATAAAATACCTGGGTATCAACTTAACAAAAGAGGTGAAAGAGCTATATAATGGAAACTACAGAACCCTGAAGAAAGAAATAGAAGAAGACCTTACAAGATGGAAGGATTTCCTTGCTCATGGATTGGTAGAATTAATATGATTAAGATGGCCATACTACCAAAAGCATTTACACATTCAGTGCAATTCCCATCAAAATCCCAATGACATTCCTTGCAGAAATAGAAAAAGCAATCATGAAATTCATCTGGAAAAACAAGAGACTCAGAATAGCTAAAGTAATTCTAAGCAGGAAGAGTGAAATTGGTGGTATCGCGATTCCAGATTTTAAACTATACTATAGAGCAATAGTAACAAAAACAGTATGGTACTGGCACCAAAACAGGCTGGTAGACCAATGGTACAAAATAGAGGACACAGAGACAAATCCACAAAATTACAACTACCTTATATTAGACAAAGGTGCTAAAACCATGCAATGGAGAAAGGATAGCATCTTCAACAAATGGTGCTGGGAGAATTGGAAATCCATATGCAACAAAATGAAATTGAATCCCTTTCTCTCACCATGCACAAAAGTCAACTCAAAATGGATCAAGGAGCTAGGAATCAGACCAGAGACTCTGCGTCTAATAGAAGATAAAGTTGGTCCTAATCTTCATCACATGGGGCCAGGCCCCAAATTTCTTAATAAGACACCTATAGCATAAAGAGTTAAAACCAAGAATCAACAAATGGGACGAATTCAAACTAAAAAGTTTTTTTCTCAGCAAGAGAAATAATATGTGAGGTGAATAGGCAGCCTACATCCTGGGAACAAATTTTTACCCCTCAAACATCAGATAGAGCTCTAATCTCTAGAGTATACAAAGAACTCAAAAAGTTAAACAACAAAAAAGCAAATAACCCAATCAACAAATGGGCCAAGGACTTGAACAGAAACTTCTCAGAAGAGGATATGCAATCAATCAACAAATACATGAAAAAATGCTCACCATCTCTAACAATCAGAGAAATGCAAATTAAAACTACTCTAAGATACCATCTCACTCCAATAAGAATGGCAGCCATTAAGAAGTCAAACAACAATAAGTGCTGGTGAGGATGGGGGGCAGGAAGGTACACTCATACATTGCTGGTGGGACTGCAAATTGGTGCAGCCAATTTGGAAAGCAGTATGGAGATTCCTTGGAAATCTGGGAATGGAACCACCATTTGACCCAGCTATTCCCCTTCTCGGACTATACCCAAAAGACCTAAGAAGAGCATACTACAGGGACACAGCCACACCAATGTTTATAGCAGCACAATTCACAATAGCTAGAATGTGGAACCAACCTAGGTGCCCTTCAATAGACGAATGGATTAAAAAAATGTGGCATTTATACACAATGGAATATTACTCATCATTAAAAAATGACAAAATCATAGAATTTGCAGGGAAATGGATGGCATTAGAGCAGATTATGCTAAGTGAAGCTAGCCAATCCCTAAAAAACAAATGCCAAATGTCTTCTTTGATATAAGGAGAGTAACTAAGAACAGAGTAGGGAAGAAGAGCATGAGAAGAAGATTAACATTAAACTGGGATGAGAGGTGGGAGGGAAAGGGAGAGAGAAGGGAAACTGCATGGAAATGGAAGGAGACCCTCAGGGTTATACAAAATTTCATACAAGAGGAAGTGAGGGAAAAGGGGAAAATAATACAAGGGGGAGAAATGAATGACAGTAGAGGGGGTAGAGAGAGAAGACGGGAGGGGAGGGGAGGGGAGGAGGGATAGTAGAGGATAGGAAAGGCAGCAGAATACAACAGACACTAGTATGGCAATATGTAAATCAATGGATGTGTAACTGATGTGATTCTGCAATTTGTATACGGGGTAAAAATGAGAGTTCATAAACCACTTGAATCAAAGTGTGAAATATGATATATTAAGAACTATGTAATGTTTTGAACAACCAACAATAAAAAAATTTAAAAAAAATGTGGCATTTATACACAATGGAATATTATTCAGCACTAAAAAATAATAAAATCATGGCATTTGCAGGCAAATGGATGGCATTAGAGCAGATTATGCTAAGTGAAGTTAGCCAATCCCTAAAAAACAAATGCCGAATGTCTTCTCTGATATAAGGGGGGGTGGTGACTCAAAATGGGATAGGGAGGAAGAGCATGAGAAGAAGACTACCACTAAATAGGGAAGAGAGGTGGGAGGGAAAAAGAGGGAGAAAGGGAGTTGCACAGAAGATGGGAGGAGACCTCATTGTTATACAGAATACATATATGATGTTGTAATGAGAAAAAGAAAAAAAAAGTATGTCACATTAGATTGGATAGAGAAAGGATGGGAGAGGAGGGGAGGAGTAGGGAGGATAGGAAGGGCAGCAGAATAGAATAGACAATATGATTGATGTATGTACATTCCATGTATGTATTATATACCAAAATGCATTCTACTGTCATGTATGACTAAAAAAAATAAATAAAAATTAAAAGACAAAAAAAAGTCATAAAAGCAAAGCCTATTGCCAAGAATAAAAAAGATAAAAATGTAAAGGACAAAATTAACAGATTATACATATATGACTTTATTTTTAAATGTTCCTTCACAATTCAAATAAATTATGTGCTTTCATATTTAAGAAAAGTAATTTTTAGAAGTAACTCATTTATATGTTTGACTTTCTAAATTATAAAGACCTTTATTCCACATTGGCATCAGTAGCAACGTCACTGAAGTTCTACCATAAATTCTGGAAGGCAGCTCACAATGGAAATTGCATTTTTCCCTGAAGAGAGATATTTATAAGGCCATTAGATATTAATAAACCAAAGAATACATTGACTTATGATTGGCACTTTAAAGTATTATTTATCTTATCTATATTTTATTATGTAGCAATATTATTTTTGAGATACTATGTGCCATATCAGATACTTGATTCTACATTCACAAACAAACATTTCAATTTATTTTTACTGAAATACAGAAAACTAAAACTTCAATTCATGTTTGTATTTGGTAAATACTTTTCAGAATTTTTCTAATTTTCATTTTATATGGTGGGAAATAAATCTCTAAAAATATTCCAACTTCTATTTGTGAATTATAATTCATAACAAAAATATTACTAATGAACTTTTAAAGGTTATGAAAAGTAGCTTATACAATAAGAAGGAATATAGCCTTCTGATGAAGATAACAGATTCTGAAACCATACTGCCACAACAGATACAGAACAATGCGCAAATTATGTAAATTATCTGTTATTCAGTTTCTTCATCTATAAGATGCACACCGAGTTGCTGGTGGAGCTTTAAATAGGCTAAAATATGTAAAGCATTTCTCACAGTGTTGCTATTACTTTCATTACTATTTTAAAGGTTATTAAAAAAATTTATAGGACAGGAGTGTTTATGACCCTGTATTCAAGAATATCTTGAAAGTATCATTTTTAACACCTGAATATTTCAACTTCTC